TTGATTAAGGTATTGTTTTCTGCTTGATTGTTTGTCTGGTGTTAATCCCTGCTTATCTAGGTGTTGTCTGCTGAAAAGGCTGTGTTCTGGTCTTTCTGTTTCCTTCTTAGCTTTTTTTTTTTTTGTCTCTTTTGAATGGAGTATAAATGTGGTTTTTCTCTATGTGTCTATTGATGGCTGATGTGTCTGAGTGGCAAGCTTCCAGGAATTCCCTAGCATTTTTGGATTTAGCTTTGTCTAGGATGCTCACAGTTTCCCAACTGAAACTATGGTTGAGTCTGTCTATGTGTTGTGAAATTAAGGAGTTTTCATCGTGTCTTCTGACTGCTAGTTGGTGTTAACCCTAACCTTAACCCAGACAATCAAGGAGAAAACAATACCCTAATCAAGGAACTACCAAGAAGAAAACTACACCTCCACCAACACTGGCAAGGCAAACTACTGTATATAAACAGTGAGCAAACTCCACACTCATTAGCACTAATGACATGACCTAGTTGGGTAATGAAACATCTGCAGTCAAACAACCAAGCTCAGAGAGCACCAAGGACTCCGCAAAATATATTTTAGACACAGTCTCTCCATAGAGGCAGATGTCTCTGTTGACACTCTTAAAATTAACTTCTGAGCCCATTGTTCAAAAATATCCTTCAATATGTCCAATATTAGAATATTTTGCTTCATTCTGTACTTGTAAGTTGAGTTTAATTGTAATCTTTAGTTCCCTCTAGTTCTCTCTAGTGTCCAATTTTTAAAATCTTATGTTTTAAAAAAAATTCAGAACAAAAGCATTTTCCCATGGGAAGGATTCTTTATAATTAATTCCAAAATCTTCTTTCAAATTTATCTAGAACCTTAGTCCGTTTGTAACTTTCTAAAATCAAAGTTTAAATCTCCTTTTGCTGTTTATTCCAAACAATTTTTTTAAAGTTCTTAAAATTGTGGTTATAAATTTATTTTGCTAAGGGTTGAAGGAAACTCACCCAGTGCTGTCAGACCTATAGATCCAAAGGTCTCTAATAGCTGGAAAACAGTTAACAAGCAATTTCTGAAAGTGATTAGAAAAGGAAGTATGTGAACCCAGTATCCTTTGAAGACACTGACCCCGGTTTGAGCAAGACGGTTATTCCTTCATCTCCTAGAGCTCTAAACCCACTGGAGGCTGCTATCTTGTGGTCCCATTGCGAGAAGCAACTGTCTAGAGCACTTGTAGGTGATCTCAAGTTCACTCCTTGTCCGGAGAGGAATTATTGAAGAGCTGGTCTACTCACCGACTCTTCATTCTGCAGCAGTCATTGGCTCTGCGAAATCCACCATTTCTTCCTCCAGAAGTTTCACAAAACTGTTCTGAACTGTTACGTGTAGGAGCGAGAACCCATTAATTTACACAAGCAGTGTCTGGAGTAAGTTAGAGTATGCTTTCTGTGAACTTGTTTGCAATGAAACAACAGTTATTTTCTTAATTGTAAGAATTCCAGAATTTTGCATGTGAGTAGGAGCAAACTAGGTTATATAGATCTAATATTACGGTCTCCTGAAAGGGAAGAGTGTGTTTTGCTGCTTATCTTACAATAACCCCCAGTTCTGGCTTGAAGGCTGTTTGTTTGTTTGTTTTGCATCAAATTAAATTTCTCTTTGGTGACAGGACTGGATCTTCAGGATCGTATTAGCAAAAGAGATGTAATTTCTCAGGGAGAATTAGTGATTCTATGCCAGATTCAGCTGGTCAGGGATTGTCTGCACTGGCTTTGAAGAAGAGTACTGTGTTGCCACAGTGTAAGATGAGGTTTCCTGGAACTATCCTCTCATGCCAGATATTTAAGGAAAGAGAAGTGGTTTGGTTGTGGAAAGTAATCTTGTCTCTAGAAATATGCTTTTAAGAGTATGACCCAAGGATGTATGCCCTCTGGCCTTGCTACTAGCCTTACCGGCTTGGCCAGTGATAAGGAATAAAGGGAGGCGCAGTGAACAGTAGAGCCATTCAAGTGGACAGTATACAATATTTGCATTAAAAAATTGAGTATAATAAATAACACATCTGAAGAGCCTCACATTTCTCATTTTTAGTGTAAGTATTCTGATCAAAATGGGCAGATATGTTCTTAGCCATCCAGGATTTCTACTGGCCATAAATATGCTACAGCACATCAAGCATACTTTGTGCTCTCTTAATGTCCCTTTGTGCTCTGTTCTCCCAGACTATTCCTAGAGAAACTCCCCAAGCATCATGAATATAAAACTGCAATCATTCCAGAGAAGAGAGAGACAGTGAAAGTAAGTGACAAAAATATTTTTCTTATTATAATGGTTTCCCCTAAAAATTGCCCATATGTTGGCAATGAGAAAAGGTAAATTGACTTGCCCACTTAGTATGTTCAGAAGCCCTCTCTTGAGAGAGTCCTGCATGAGAATTTTAACCTAGTAAAGCTTCACAAACAAGTTATCTGCCTTGATCCTTCTCCTGAAAATACTGTTGGAGTGAAACTGAACATCTCTGTTTAAACTCACGTTTACTCTTTCAGCTTTGCCAGTGCAATGTGAGAAACTCTGCTTGTTTCACTCTGGATGTGATGCCTCTGCTCTTCTTACCAAGCTAAGGCAGAGGGGAGCAGGGCAGTCTATGGCTCGCTGTTGCTCATGCCTTTGATCCTGAACTATTGCTCAGTGTGCAGAAGAGCCTAGGATTTACCAGCTTCTCTGTCCTCCTCTGGCATGGCTAGAAAGAAAGCATAAACATCTGCTTCTGGTCTGAAACTCACGTTTTGTTGTATCTGAACTGGGATTGTCCTGCTGAGCTTGAGCAGGCCAGGATCATAACTGCATGACATCACAGATCAAACTAGGCTGACTTAAATTAAGTCTGGTTAATTTAAAAATGGAAGTGAATAATCTTGTATCTATGGCAGGGAAGGAAAGGGGAGCATGAAAATGGAGTCTGTCTAGAGCCAAGCCATGGTTTAGTTTGGGGTCTGAAACATTTGTGACTCTTCTAGAAGATTCAGAAGGATCAGTCTGTGTCCTGTCTTTGGGGTATGAATGTTGCTTAGCCTGTCAAAGTCTTGTTGACCTTAACCTGCAGTAGCTCTCTTGGAGCCTCTCCCAGGTGTGCCATTGGTAATGGAGGCTCCTTGAGAGAGGTGGGGGCAGAAAGCCACTTTCTTTCTGGCTTGAACCCAGGATCTTCTAGACGTTGGAGGGATGCACCTGGTGACAAGAAGACTTGTTGCTCTTTTCTCTATGTTTCAGTACCGGATTCCCTCCTTTCTGATAAGCTTGCATGGATTCCATGAATTTCCATGCAGAATTTGTTTAGAAATATGTCCAGGAGGATTGGCTATCATGGTCTTCTGGTGATGCTTTTCAATGATAAGCTGCACTGCTCTTCATTGCAACTTTACTTCTAGTTCCAAAAGTCTAATTTTGTGCTATTTTTTCCCTTAACTCAGAAGCTAAAAGAAGTTGCATTCCCTAGAGCAGAAGAGTTGAAAAAGGAGCTTCTAGAAAAATACAACAAAGAATATGCAGAGTATAATATACGGAAGGTGAGTAACAGGATGTTCTGGAGCTCTCTGTTGCTTTGGCCCTAATCTGGCTGTGCCAGAAGCACACAGCTTGGCTGTCACGCTCACAGTTCAATTCTGGTGGTTTGGACTGCTTCTCCTTAACTTCTGGAAGTTATGCTCTGTTGAGGACGCCCAGTTGTATCTTTGGAGATACTGAGAAAATGCACAGCCAAGGGACAAAATAAGCTGCATCGAGATAAAAAGTGGATAGGGCCAGAACAAAAACTAAAAATGATTTAATTTAACTGTAACTACAGTGGCATATACCTGATCTGGTTATTGTTTCAATATAAATTGTGGCAGCTAGCTGATGTTGTCTGGGTTCAGTATCTAAGCAGAGTTGGGCCTGATTAATATTTGAATAAGAGCCAGAGAAATGTAATTGAAGAAGTTGCTAAGAAAACTACGTGGACCATAGAATCTAGGGATTGGATTGGATCCAACCCTCTGTCCATTGCAGGAATCCACTACTGTGACTTCTTCAAGAGACACCCTTCAGTCTATGTCTGAATACCTCCAGCAAAGGAGGCTTCATCACCTCATAAGACAGGCTGTTCCATTGGTGAACAACTCTTAACATTAGGAAATTCTTGCAGTCCCACCAAAATCTGTTTCCTTGTTATTTAAACCCATACCACTCTGAATGGTTCTGCTCCATCTTTCATGACAGCCCTTCAGAAGATAGCTACCACATGTCCTTGTAGTTTTCTTCTGGAAAAACATACCTCCCCTCCTTCGTCGTAAGATTTTCTTCTCTTTTCGTGGTTGCTCTCTTCTAGGCGCACTTCAGTTTGTCAGCGTCCTTCCTAAACTGCAGTGCTCAGTCATGAGTGCTATATTCTAGGTTTGAAATGACCAGTGCAGAACAGAGAAAATAGTGACTTCACTTGATTTTGGCAATATGCTTCTGTTGATGCAACTAGGATTGTGTTTGGTTTTTTTTGCAGCTGCATCACACTCTCACCTCATGTTCAGTTAGTGATTCTTTTCACATGCACGATTGCCCTGTGTGGTTTTCCCCAATCCTTTAATTGCCTTCAATTTTTTCTATTCAAAATGTAGAATTTTGCCCCTGCCCCTGTTGAAATTAATTTTGATGGTTTCTGCCTATTGTTCCAGTTTGTCAAGGTTCTCCTCAATTCTGATACTACTCTCTAAACATGTTTGATGTTCCCCACTCTTTGTGTTTTTTGCATATTTGATAATCATATTTTCTAATCCCTTCTCCAAGTCATTTAGATTGAACAGCACAGGGCTTAAAACAGTCCCCCCGGATGCCACTCAATCTCCCCTCCAGCTTGATTGGGAAGCCAGTGACATACATTCATTCTGTGTGGTTGTTCAAACAGCACTGTATTAATCTAATGGTGACATAGTCCATCCCATGTTTTGTCATACTTTCTACTAGAATTTCATGGGAGAATTTGTTGAATACATTGCCGAAGTCATAGTAAACTGCATTTCCATGGTTAGCTAAGCCAGCTGCTTTAGCAGAAAAGGAGATCAGGTTGGTTTGGCATAATTCCTTCTTGATCAACCCATATTACTGTCCACTTTGTCCCAGCACCAGGTCCATCTCTCCTTTCCCCCCACCTCCACTTTTTCCACTTTTTTCATTGCTTTTAGCTTCTCTTGCAGCCCAAGTTCCTTTTGTACATTAGCTTTTCTAACTATTTTCCTGTTTGTTGATACCCCTCCCTGATGATTACACCCATCCTCCACACCATATACATGTCCCTTTTATCTCTTTGTTCCGCTGAAAGCTCCACAAAGATTGCCAAATCTGCCTCCCATTTTTCTTCATTAGAATGATGTACTTCTACTTTCTGTATTTCATTTTTTAGAATTTCCGAACCCTCTTGTACTTCCTTTGACCTGATAATTTCTGCCCATGGGATCCCATCGAGTATTTCTCTTAAACTAATTGAAGCTTAAGCTTTTTCTTAAGTTTACTGAAATTGGCTGTCCTAAAGTCAGTGTGCATGTATGACTGTGCCCCAGTTTCTCTGTAGTATCTTGAAACCCAAAATAACACGATCACTTCATCTCAGGTTTTCAGTGCTTGTACCTCTTCAACCGGCTGTTCTCTATTAGTTAGGATCAGATTTAAGAGAGCCAGTCCCCTTGTCTCTTCTTAAAGCTTCTGGGACGATAAAGCCTGTGAGTGATGAGGTGTCCAATTCTGGACACAACACATTAACAATAATTTTAAGAAATCTGGAACAGTTTCAGAGAAGGGCAATGACAATCACCAGGACTAAAGACTAAGTCCTAGAAAGACAGATTGAGGGAGGTGGGCTTATTTGAATACAAAATCAAATATAAGTTAAGCGAAAGGCAGATGTATTTGTAAAGGGCACCAACAGAAATACAGTTTCCAAATGAGAGAGCCACAGCTGCTGAGAGTCGAACTGATTGTGGCAGGGCAATTTTTGCTTCCACAGCTTGTCTCACAACTGGGTGCTGGCATAGTTGTGAGCCGACATGTCTTTGCCAAAGGTGGGCTCATTTCCGGAAAGTTCCCACGGCGGCACATACATGGGTTACCTTTTGCCCAGAATATTGGAAACGACTGTAGATAGGGTTGTTTTTAAAGAATGCCCATAAACTTCAGCTGGTTCAGAATGCAGCAGCCGGGTTGCTTGCAGGCACGGGACAATGCAGGTCAGTTATTTGAAGGGCTTCCGGTTTGTTTCTATGTCAGAAGATCTAATTATTTCTTGTAAAGCCCTACACATTTTGGATCTGGGATGCTTTAAATACTACTTTCTCCTGCAGGAGCCAGTTCACACGTTCAGATTACCCTAAATGTGTTCCACCAGTGAAGCATGTCTGGTTGGGATCAGAGAGACAACACTTGAGGGAGTTTCCTGAGCTCTGGAACTCTCCCTGACGAGGCCCATTCTTTGGTGGCCTTCTTCCTGCGGAATTCAGATCTTTGTTTTTAGGAAAGATTTTATTGACAGGAGCGTTTGGTGAAGTGAATTATGAAGCTAATCTGTAGGAAATAATCTTTGCTAGCCCATTTCTTTTCTTTTTTTTTTCATATATCCATCATTATAGTTACTTGCTTGGCTCTGGATTTTATTTACTTTTTTCTCTTAGCCATTAATGTGGCATCTGTTGTTTTCTAAGTTTTTAGCTCTCTTGAACACAAGGGAAGAGTTAAAACAATGCAAACAATACATAGGAAGCTGCTTCACAAACTAATCGTGTTATTAGTTCAGTTAGCCTGTTCTAGCTAGCTAAGACCCACAGGTTGAATCTGGACCATATTCTCCCAAAGATGTGCTCCCCTCCTCAAATCTTGCCCAGTTCTTAGAGATGCCCAAAGGGTGTTGCTCCTGCTGTCATTTTCCACATCCACTGGTGACTCTTCTCTTCCCATTACAGAAGAAGCAAGAGGAGGAATTTGCACGTAGCTTGGCCCTGCAGCAACAGCTGGAGGAGGAGAGGCAAAGAGTGGCCCGCATGAAACAGCAGCAGGCTGAACAGGAGCAGTTCCATGCCTTTGAAGACATGATCAGGCGCCAGGAGCTTGAGAAGGAGCGCCTGAGAGTGGTGCAGCAATTTGGGACAGCAACTACAGACCTCTTGGAGGGGCCCTTAGTAACTGGTGTGCTCAAGCCCCCCACTGACCCCCGAACTCTCATGTCTGCTGGTCAACCTTTGAGCCCTGGTGGAGGAAGTGGACTGCCAAAGCCACCTATTGTGGACAGGTCTCTAAAACCTGGAGCTTTGGGAAACTCAGAAAACAGTATGTTTTGGAATGAATTTGATACACCTTCTATGGGAATGCAATGATAGTCTTGTCAGAGCTGACTCACAAAGCTCAAAAGAATCCCCCCTCCCCACAGTGATGAAATGTTTAAGATGCTAACATTTGATCTGTTTAAAATACTGGTTCTAATGAACTGGACATTTCTTAGCAGATCTTCTGGATTGCTTGGCATTTATTTTGCCATCTGAAATCTGTTGTTTCCCAAAACCTAAATCCTCCCAAAATCAAATCTGCTTGAAGAATTCTCCAGTCTTTGCCTCCTGTTTGAGTCTCTCCTACCAGCTTTATAGCTAGCTAGTGTTGTGCCACTGTCCCAGAGCTGGTTCTTGCCATCTGCCTTCTAAGCAAGATGGCCTGGAAGCAGATGTGTTGGGCTTGGGGAGAGAGTCTCCAAATGAAAGCCCATCCTGTTCCTACCACACCTCCACCTTCTGAAGAGATCAAGGTGGGCAAGTGTTATGTTACCTGGCCTTGGAGAAAGTTTTTCCTCAAGGAAAGGTTTAGCAAGGTGACAGTCTTCAGCTGTTAACTGGAAAACCCTGGCCTTTAACCAAATGGTGGGTCCTGGCAATAACTCTGCTCCCTGCCCATATTCCTGTCGCAGAAATGTTTTCAGATTTCCCAGAAAGTTTTCTAGGATGTAGATGGTGCTGTTGCAGTGATCTGTTTTTGTAACAGGGTTAGAAGTAATGATTTTTATTGAAGACTTTAAAAAAACAGCCCTGTCTTTGGAATAGCACAAAACCACTTTTGAAAAAGATTTCTAGCACTGATGTTGGGTAGCTGATTAAATCTCACTATTTTTGGTTGCTGTTTGCTCTAGTTAAAATAACACTTGGCCATTTAAAAGCATAGATGTCAGGTCAGCATTTTTCTGTGCCCTGTTTTTGCAAATACCAAGAGAGACTACGCCTTTTAGGTTGCAGGTTCAGTTTGTGATGAATGCTCCATATAAAACGGTCTCTGCTTAGAAAATTAGCAAGTTGGGGAGGCAGCTAGGCTGGAATTGGGCCTGTAACACCTGTGATCTTGCTCTTTCCCTCCAGATGCAGTTATAGAAGGTCTTCGCCACATCATTGTCCCCAGGGAGCTCTGTCATAAATTTCTGCAGCTGGCAGATGCAAACACAGCCAGAGGTGTGGAGACATGTGGGATCCTTTGTGGGAAGCTGGTAAGATGATGTCATAAATCCTGAAGGGAGTATGTGGTTGTCTTCTCTTCAGTTCTCCTGAACTGGTAACTTGCTCACTTGGAAATGACCTAAATAATAATACAGGTCTCCCTATTCATCATAGAAGGAAGTATATAAGTATATGGGGACAGGAAACCGGCCTGATTGGACAGAAGAACTACAGGGTCCTATTTTGATCCTGGTAGTTTTAGAAACTGCTGCCTTCCATAATGGATTTTTGTAATTTAAGTATGTCTCATGATTACATGCTATTATTACATTCATACCAGGAGTCTCTAATTTTTTTAGGCCTAGAGTGAATTCAGGGTTTGAATGGTTGCAGATGGTAAGGAATTTGCCCCATAAATTCAGTGAAAGCGGAAGTTGTGCCCGAGCTGCGCCTTTAATTTAAGGACAGCAAAATACCATTTCACAGAAGGAAAAACTGGATGAGGTTCAGAAGCACAATCATCCATACAGGCAGAGATGCAACGTGAGCTAGGTAGAAATTGGGCCTCTTTTAAATATTTTTCTCTTTTCTTGCACGGGCATGCTGGAAGATGAAATCCTAGACTCCATTAACAGCCACATTACTTTTCTAACAACATACATTCTGTTCTATTTTGGGGTAAGCAACATTATGCAGAGTGCAGAAAAAGAGTGAGAAATAGTGGAAAAAGAAACTAAAGGAAAAAGATGAGAGAAAAGGAAATCTAGTTTATATCAGCACAATTCACTATATGTCTCTTATGACTTTCTGTGTTTGCAAAAAAAACATTGTTGCTCTCATTGCATCCGTATAGCAATTCACACTTTTGTACTTCAAATGTCTCACCTCTTTCTTCTTGAGGCTCTCATCATCTCTACGCAACCAAGACATTCTTGATTTCCCCCTTCCTTTTAATATATTCACTCTTCCTTCTTATGTTTGTTTTGGAATTCAGTCCTCATTCATTTTCTTTATGTTAAACCACTTCAACATACTTCTTTTGTAGTGGTTTCTCAGTTTTTACCCATTCCTGTCTCTTCTTCTCTCTTCCACTGCATTCAACTTTTGTGTTTCTCCTGACATGAGAACTCTCATTGCCATATAACTAAAGCGAAGAGAGGTATGCTCTTATACACAGCCATTTTCCTTTTTGACAAGCATTCCTTGTAGCAGGCCACATGCTGCCTATTTCTTCTGTGCTATGTTCTTAAAAGTTCTCCATCCTTTTCCCCATATTTAGTAAATTTAAATGTATAACTGGCAGTTGTTCAGTCTGTTTTCCTTTGTCTTCAGTATACTAATTTTCAGATCCATTCTCCATATTGCATCATGCACTCTAACAGAGGTGGCAGTCAGTGGGCTCTCAGCCAGTGATGCTGCATCACCTGCATGCAAAAGGAGACATACCTTTACATCTCCAACCAACATATTTTTTCCTCAATAACTTTCATCAGAAGTTTGTACATTTTTTCCCAAAACTCATTCTTGGTCCTTTCATTATCATCATTCACATGCAGCTGTCACCAACATATGAATTTGTACTTTAATATACTCTCACAGTTGACACCAGTTCCTACATTCTGACATTTTAATTCTTTCATTCATGATTAAACCTATACCTTCTCTTCCCTGTGTGTATTTATCAATTCCTCTGTTCCTAAAGCTGCAGCCAAGTTGTGCTTCTGAAATTCTGTGGAGGAACTTTAAAACCAACCTATCTTAGAGGATGCTGATTACATTTAATCTGAGTATATGCCCAAGCCTGCCTGCCAAACATTTACCTCAAAAGGCTATTTGCTGATTCTCCTTTTGTGACCTTTGATCCTCTTTCTCTCTCCCATCAGATGAGGAATGAATTCACAGTAACCCACGTCATTGTTCCCAAGCAGTACGGAGGCCCTGACTACTGCAACACCGAGAACGAGGAGGAGCTCTTCCTAATCCAGGATCAGAACAGCCTGATCACGTTGGGATGGATCCACGTAAGCCTCCTTGGCCCAGGGCCTTCCGGGGCCCAAAACCTGCCTGCAGGGGGTGGGGGAATCTCCTTTGAACCCCAGACAGAATAGCTGCAAGGCAGAGGAAGACTGTTGGGGCGCAGAGCCTCTTTTTAGGCAGTTCCTCTCGGTTTCTGAGCAGCCAGGCACAACCATTCCCAGTGCCTTTGTGCCTGTATCCCCTTCAAGTGCTCGCCTCCGGTCTTGCCCAGGTCCTCTCCCTCAGAAGCTGTTTCTTCAAAGTAGAGTCTCCAGGTGGGTTGCCTCTGGGTCCTACAGTCGATGTCATTCACATGCCCTTAGGGAGGACCCCTGCCAGCCAACACTCTGTGTCCCCACTGGGTAGCCCTTTTTGGAGATTACAGAAGCTTTGATAACAGTTTGCAGAGGACCATGTTCATGTTTTCTCGTGTTCATTTGGGTGCTCTGGAGAACGACTTGATTTAGGGAAGAGAAATGCAATTCAGTGATTCTTATCCCTTGATCCTATATGCAAACAGAATTGCTGTAATACTCTTCATGATTCATATTTTCCACATTTTAGATTTTTTTTCTCATTGAATGGGTACAAAAAGCATCTGTTAATGAGTGGACAGGTGTCTCAAAACTATACACAAAAATACATTTTTGAGAATAAAATCCAGCAATATATTAAGGGACACTGCTTAAAAAATGTTTATCCCCAGAAAGTACAGAAGAAAATTTTTGTTCAGCCTTTAAAAAAAATAGAATGGAAAAATGATAAGCAGAGTGAAACAAAGTTAAGCAAAATGCGGTTTTTTGCTTCATCTTGACATCTACCCTCCTTTTCCTCCTTTAGACTCATCCTACCCAAACTGCTTTCCTTTCCAGTGTGGATTTGCACACCCATTGCTCCTATCAAATGATGTTGCCAGAGTCTATAGCTATTGTTTGTTCACCAAAATATCAAGAGTAAGTTATTGCATTGGGAGTATCCGGATTGGTTTTAAGACTGGGCAAGATCACAGGGTTCCATTTGGGATCTAATATTGATTTAAGGGGCAGAGTACCAAAGCTCAGACCCACTCTGTGCCTCCCTGAATAACGAATGAAGTTGAGAGAGATTGTGATCCAGAGGGGTCCCAGCTCAGTTTAAGCATTTCATTAATGAGGCTAGTTTGTTCAAATCCTGTGGCAATTCCAATTCTATTCCAGTCTACCTGTTGGGGGTTACTTAGCCAAAATTGAGAATGCGTGGAGCATAGAAGAACAAAACATAACGAATGATCCCTATGGTAGATAACCAGGGTTGCACTGTTGTAGGCATGAAGTAATTTTTCAGTTTTGGACAGGTTCCTTCAAGGTATAGCTCTCCGTCTGTTCTTCTGAACTTGTTTAAAACTGTTCTTGGCCCTATACAAAGATAATAAAGAAGGGGTCCACCTGAAGCCATTTGCAGAGTTTGAGGTCAGCTGATTTTGTCCACAATTACTGTTGCCTAGGACTGGATTCTTTAAACTGACAGACCATGGGATGGACGAGATCTCTTCCTGCAGACAGAAAGGGTTCCATCCCCACTGCAGAGACCCTCCCCTCTTCACGGTGAGTATCCGAGAGAGGAGACGGGCCCGTCTCCGGGTTGCAGGTGCTTCCCCAAGCCTTGCTTGTGCTGAACCCAGCTCCTTCTCCAGGCCTTGGGTTGGAACGGGGAGCGCGTCCTGCGTGTTTGGTCACTCTTTTGGTACTTGGGTGGGTTTTCTGTTTTTGCGTTTCTTAATTGTATGATTTGATTCTTTTTACTCTACGCGGTTCAGCATCATCATAGAGTTGGGCAGCTTTATATGTTCCATAAATAAATAAGCAAAGCAGTGGTCCTTTAGTGGGAAGGTGGTCTGCCTGTTCAGGTCAACAAACAATTTGTTCCCATCTCTTCCCCCCTCCTCCCTAAATTTTCCACCTCCAAACCTTCCTAAAAAAGGCGTCCAACTGCCATTAAAGTGCGAAAGATCAGTGTAGATCTGACTCCCACTCAAAGTGCTGTTAGGAAGTGGTTTTTTTTTCTTGACAATAAGAAACAGGCTTCTGATGCATCATTGAGTAACCACCTCAGATTATTTAAACTGGGGCAGCAGGAAGTAAATTCCAGTCACCTCTCACTCTGCGAGATGCCCCTGAACTGCAACAGCCGATCCATTGCCAGGCATCCTCCTCCCTTGATTTTGCCATTTGTTTTCTTTGTTTTGTGTTTTGTTTCCCGTCTGCCCTCTGAGCATTTTGAAGTAAAGTAAAGTCTAAGTTGCTTGTGCCTGAACTTTGCAGGCAGTCAGGAAGGCAAACAGTTTCCCATTGCCCTGGGTGATTGGTAAGTTTACAGTTGTGCTTAAAAGTTTGTGAACTTCTGAATTTTCAGTATTTCTGCATAAATGTGACCTAAAATGTGGCCTGTTCTCCACACAATCCCTAAAACTAGATAAAGAGAACACAATTAAACCGATAAGTCAGAAACATTATACTTGTTCATTATTGAGATAGTCCCTTCAGTGCTTCTAAGTGTAAACCGACTGCAGCAAACCAACAAAGTCAAGGATGTGTTTGCAGTAGACGCACCATGGGTTGGATCGAGAGGGCAGAGGACCGTGAACAAAATGCCAAAGCGACCAGCATAGAATCTCTGCAACTTTAAATGCACTCTGCAGTCTCCACAAATGAAAAGCCACACAAAAATGGACAGAGTACAATATACACTGAAACTCAAATTAGGGCCATTTTGCACGTTTGATTCTGCATACGCAACTTTGAAAAATGTGCAGCTTAACATTAAATAGATCAGTGTCTGAATTATAAATTTAAGCTAATATAAGTTATCCCTAAACCCTAAATGCATGTAATCCTGGATATTTTTCATTTTTCTTTTTCTTTTTTCTGATATAGAAAGGCTGCTTTTAAGCAGTTTGGTACTGAAACTGCTAGCAAAGCAGAATGCCATCAATTTCCAATATCATGTTAGTTCACGTCTGAGATAGGATGCATCTGTAGGAACTTCAGAATCAAAGCTATGTGCCTCCCATCCCCACCCCCATTCCATAGACAGCATTAATCATTCCGCTGCACGTAAATGGCTTCAGCTTCTTATTATTTGTGCAGAGTTCTCAGCAAGCCACATCAAATCAAATCCTTATCTATTCATTCACCCGGATTCTGGTCCCACAGGCAACACTCCCCATTTTTCCCCAATTGGCTTGCAATCATGGCCGATCCCTTTTGTCATCTCTCAGAATAAACAATGCACAAATTCTGTGGCAAGCAGGGTAGAAATGGATTATGAACAGGGGGTGGGGCTCATGCATTCCTGTACGCATAGGTTAGATCCTCTTTGTGTCCCCATCAGTACTGCTCTTCACTCAAATTATTTTTTTATTTATATTTCAAATTTGGTCACTGCCCATCTCACTAGGAAGTGACTCTGGGCGGTTTACAATAAAAACAAAAAATAAATATTAATTAAAATGCAGTAAAAATAGTATAAAAACACAATAAAAAACAAATGCATACATAAATAACCATATCTTCCAAGGTGCTACTGATAGAAAAGGCATTAACATACAGGAGCATCTTCAAGGTGTTAGCCACCCCCAGGGTTGGCTGCCTCTTTTCTTGCCCCACGCAGGTTGGCAGGGCCAGTATCTGCCAGACAGAATGAACTATACCCTCCAAAATCCCTAATCTCTGGGGGATGGTGTTCTAAAGGGCAGGCACATCGACAGAAAAGGCTCTCTTCCTGGGCCCCGCCAGACAACGTTCCATTGCAGAGGGCACCCAGAACATGCCTCTTATGCCAGACCTAATGGGAAGGGTAGACATAATCAGGGAGAGATGGTCCTGGCCCCAAGCCATGAAGGGCTTTATAGGCCATCACCAGGACCTTAAATTGAAACTGGAATAATACTGGCAGCCAGTGCAGCTCACAGAGCAGAAGTGTAACATGCACTGATTGAGAAGTGGAGTCACCCGTTGGGGGAGATGGGCGGCATACAACTTTAATAATAAATTTAAAAAATAAAATAATAAAATAACTGCCCACACCGCTGCATTCTGCACCAGCTGTAGCTTCCAGATGCTCTATAAGAGCCACTCCATGTTAAAACACATTGCACAATAGTCCATTCAGGAGCTGACCCAGGTGTGAGTGACTCTGAACAGAGTCTCCGGTCCAGGAACAGGCATAACTGGTGCATAACATGGAGTTGCACAAAGGCCCTCCTGGCCACAGCTACCACCACCTCCTGAAACAGAAGCCATGAGTCCAGGAGGATCCTCAAATTGCACACAGGTCTGTTTGGGGTAGCACAACCCCATCCAGAACAAGAGATGGAAAGTCCCTCGAACCAGAGACCCCTAAAAACCAAACCCCCTCATCTTGTTGGGGTTGAGCTAAGCCTATTGTTCCCCATCCAACGCCCCACAGCCTCCAAAACAGGACCTCCACAGCGTCACTTGGAGGGTTTGGGATGGAAATATAAATCTGGATATCATCAATGTACTGATGGCACCTTACCTGGTGCTGTTGGGTGACCTCACCCAGTGGCTTTATGTAGATGTTAAACAGGAGCAGAGAGAGTACTGAACCCTGCAGAACCCCACAAAGCAGGGGCTAAGGGCAGGACCTCTTCCCCTCCCCGATCAACACTGACTGGAACTGGCCCCAGAGGGAGGAAGAGAACCAGTACAACACAATGCCCCCACTCCCAACCCCTGGAGCCAATCCAGAAAGATACCATGGTTGATGGTATTGAAAGCTGCCAAGAGGTCAAGAGCAAGGATGGACACCAAACCCCCACCAGAGGTCATCCAGAAGTGCGACCATTGCTGCTTACCATACACAGGCCTGAATCCAGACTAAAAAGCATCCAGATAATCTGCTTCTTCCAGGATTCTCTGGAGCTGCTGCGTGACCATCTTCTCAACAACCTTTTCTAGTAAGAGAAGGTTGGAGACTAGACAAAAATTGTCCAGAACAGTTGGGTCTAGCGAAGGCTTCTTGGGAGGGGGTGAACCACTGCCTCTTTAGGAGATAGGAGGACAGCCCCCTCTCCAAGGAAGAATTCCTCAGTTACAGATAAGGATCTTGCCCTTCAGTTTGTATGTGTCTGTTGTTCCCAGCTGCCATGATTTTCTTTTCTCTCTCTTTTTCAGACTTGCAACCATGTGACCGTCATGGAACAAGAAGTGGTAGTATTGGACCTTCGATAAGACTGCCTTTATGCCTCTATCAGCTATTACTGTCCTTCTTAAAGCTAATTTATGGTTGCTTCTCTCACTTTCTATGCAGTGATACCCAGAATCTTACCTGTAACATCAAAGAAATGTTGCATTCTCTTTGATCACATGCAAATAATAGTTTGGGGCATCAGAACATTGAGATCAGTAAAACAAAATTATAAACTGAAATTAACCTTAACCTTGATACAGCAAGTCATGGCTGCTGACTGATTTTTTTCAACAAACCAGGCTCCAGAACACACATAGAGGTACAAAGAAACAGGAACAACTTCTCAGAAGTGTTTTCCTTGACTCAGAACACATCCATCCTTCTCTGTGTTAAGATCTCAGCTCTTGCATGTTCTTGGAAAACTGCATCAATCCTATCAATGGTTTGGAGTTCTCATGCTTGACTGTGCTGTGCCAAAAATGTTGACTTTAGTGAGCAGTAATAAAGCAGTTTTTGTGTTGGACAGAAGTAAGTGCCCACAAAGAAAATCAGACCATTGTCTATTGTGATCAGATTTCTCTTCCCCAGATAATGACATCTTGTTCTAAGGAAGGAATTTGTGGAGTTAAGGAGAGAGAATCCAAAGGAGTTTCTTGAAATAACTAGCTGGCTCTTTTGTTAGACATCTTCCTTTTTAAGAATATATACATTTTAAAATAATATATCAATCAAGCTTAATGTTCCTACAGTTATGTTTTAAAGCCTGTGAAGGGCTAGACTACATTTTGATACATTCTTAGTAGTTTGCACTTGTTAAACTGATTGCAACATCCCATGTGCAGAAAAGGATGTGACATCAAAATGCTCTCTAAGAAAATGTCTTGATTCTATCCAGTTGGCTTTGAGGTGCCTCTTCCATGCTATCAGTTAAAAGTAGGTAGATGAGATATTATCAATTAAGAGCAAATCTCCCTGTTTAGCAACATGGCCATGCCCTCTCAAGCTACACCATATGTGCTGCCATAGGAATTGTATCTAAGCATCTGAGAAGGAGAGTATGCTACTGCTTGTCATCACTGTGTCACAAGAAAGTCAGTACAATTCAGGCTCAAATTGTCCATGAATTTTAACTTCCTTTGAGCAGTTTTGATACTTAACATTGTAAGTGCAGCGGGAAGTGCAAGTGTTAAAATGTCATGTCAGGTTCAAGAGTGACTCTCACAAGATTCTAGGTTAATCCACAGCATAAGAAGTTAGCCCTGGGTGGTTGACCCAATTCCCAGTTATCCCCCTTATCTTTGGCTGTGAACCTATAGAAGCTGATCTGAGGAGCAACTTAGTGGAAGATGCAAGACTTTTGAGTTCAAACTTAAGGAATTCCTCTTCTGCTGCTAATGTGGTCCTCTTTAAGAGATTCACACCCAGCCCAAAGTGGAGGGAGTGCCCAAAAGGTGCATGTGACCTCCATAACTGTTTCTCGATAGCAGCTGATGCCAAGTGGGGCCTTCCTAGTTCTTTTCTCCAGTTATTTTATTCATTCATAATTAAGTGTATTTCTGTGGAGAGAGACATGAAAGTGCCAGGAATTTCTGTACAAATGCATTCATTCATGTATACTCTTTGTAGCCTGTCTCTGCTGTGCTTTGGGTCCTGAGTTAAGACTCTGGATGAAGGACTTCTAGAAATTAGATAGGCTAATTTTGCTCCTTGGAAATAGGGCATTAGGCCCCTTTGCTGCAAGTTCTTCCCCAGAGTTAGCTACCCCAAGGTTTACCAAATTTGTTGTGTCTGAACAGTGGTAGTGGAGAAGGTGTTGGTACATCAGCAAAGTGAGTGTGGAACTGGATATATGAGAGGAACAAGCAAGGTGGCTGCCCAAGCTGCCTGCAGGAGGGATGTTTTGGATGGAGAGGTTGGTCTTATTTCATTGAGTTGTGTGGTTTTTGATCTGTCCTCTGGGGAAGACGGAAGCTTCTGAAGTTGTCTCAGGAGATCGGACAGGTGACACCAGTAGGCCACTTTTCCTAAAAAATATGCTACTGGTCTCACCCTGCAACATGCAACTGTAGAAGAATGCTGGAGGAGATGTGAGCTGTACTCTCTTCAAGGGACACTCAGCAGACCCTACATTATGTTGCTCTGGAAGCCTTCTGTCATGCTGGTAGGCTAATTCTGGGGAAGTCGAATTCTTCAGACAGGATCATCAGTAGAGAATGTGAGGGTTAAATGGCAGAAAACCTTAGCTGGTGGGTGGCCTTGATCCATGATAGTGGCTGAGGGCCAGTTCCCAGGCATGGCTGGCTGGCTTCTGCTCCTTGGCCAAGACAGCTCCGGCCCCAGCCCTCGAGGCAGCCTCCCCGGTTGAGGATCGGCTCCCCCGCCGAAGGCCCGTTCGGCATCAGGGGTTGCATCCCACTGCAGTGGCAAAGGGATACCGACGCGAGGGTGGGAGCCGGACGGGACGTCTGGGTCAGAGCTTCCTTGTTAGGCTGCCCGACCTCAGTGCCAGGACCAGGGAAGGCGGCCCTGGGGGTTGGGACTGTTTGAGCAAGGACTTGATCTGGGAGGGACAGTGGGTGCTCCTGGGCCAATCTAAAAGGCCTCCCTCCCCGGCATGAACGGAAAGCGGCCTAGCGCTCTGACACTGCTGCTCAGCACGGGCGGGTCTGTTGCAGATGATGCCTGGCATGCCATCAAGCTCCTTCCATTAAGCTTATTGCAGCAGATCACACGTGGGGAGCTGTGCTGGGCAGGGCTCCAGTCCAGAGCTCTCTGCAAGAGTGGGGACACTCTGGTGGGAGTAAAATAGCCCCCCCTCCACTGCTGCTCTTCCGCAGGGCACTGCCAGACCCAGACCTTTGGTGGTGAAGCGGGTGCCCAGGTCATGCTGTTCTTCCAACCGCAGTTGTAGCTGCGAACAAGTCTGGGTTCTACCTCCTCCCTAAACTCTTCCGGCCACCTCTGCCTATTGCGAGCCCAGCACTCATGTGCAGGTGGCAGACGCACAAATGGGAATATCCAGGCTATGATCCTCCTCGGCCTTTCTGGCTAAGCCTGGGCAATGCTGGAACTGAGGGGCACTCCATTCCAGCAGGAATGACAGACACGGTAGCGGAAGCACCTGTTTGCAGCACGAAGGGCGTTGCAGAACAGGCCAGTTGTTCCTCGAGGGACTTAACGCTGATATTCTGCAGGTTTGCTTCTGTTGACACATTTCTGGTATAACTGTTTACGGGAGTAAGAGCTGGTTTCAGGGTCCTGGAAAGAGCTTTGCTGTTGAGCAAAGGGTCCGTCTGAGCCCAGGCTTTTACTTGCTTGATGGTCCGTGAGCAGGCTAGAGCCTCTCCTGGTGGTTTTCCCTGCATATCTCGAAATGTTTGGCCTGTTGCTTCTGAATAGGGAGGTTCCATTCCTGGTAAGTGTGTGTCCTTCGGGCATCCTCCCCCATCAGAACCAGGAGACTAACTCGCAACTTTAGGACTGCCTGCCTTCGCAGACAGACACCTGAGCTGCCTCTCTCCCACCTCCCACTACGTGCCTTTTAAGATTTTCCTGGATTTGGGAGAAAAGCAGGACCCCGCGGGGGCCTTTCACCACTGCAGCTTTCCCTCTGAGACTCGCCCCATCTGCCTCCATCGTCATATATGGCCTGCCTCCTCTCCCTCTCCCGGTGACTTCATTCTTGGGTGCTGTCCGCCTGGGCGTCAGCGTGCTGTGTTCCTGGGCAGCTCTGGCCGATGGGTGCTTCGGAGGAGGACTGCCGTGGTTCCCACAGCCCCTCCTCCCCAGCCCAGCTTCAGGGCTGGAGGGTGTTGAACTTTCTTCTTTTGCCTGTAATCTCTGGCAAGACCGAGCAGGACGCGGTTTGGCTGACAGGATGCAGGTCAAGGCACGTCCTTTGCGAAGGGAAGAGAAACTGGATTGTAAAGGAAAACAGATTTCAATGAAATTGCCCATGTTTAAGGTGCCACTTTTCCCCCCTGCAAATCTGCCTCTCTGGGTTGAAGTCGGGGATCTGGATGTGTGTGTGTGGCAGTCGAGGAGTGTTCCCCCTGCCCCAAGGGTGAATTTTGCTGCCCGTCAGATGTCAGCCCCCAGCCTCTCTCCCAGAGTCTGGAGGCAAATTGAAAGCCACACGGTTGGCACAACGAGCTGCTGCTTGACCCCGCGCGCGTCCTGCGTGCTCTGCGCCTTGCTAGCCTCCCTCCTTCCTCCCACCCCCTCACAGGAGCCGCTGCCCTGCTCTTAGGCACATTCATTTCCCTTAAAAAGGCAACAGGGAGTCTCTCAGCATCTGGTTGGATCTTTTAAGGCATCTGCTCCTCATTCTTCTTGTGTTGCAGATTCTTGTCATCACGGCTGGCAGGAAAGAGGTGGTGCCACCCAGAGCAGCACAAGGAGCTTCCCAGGGACCCCGAGGGCTATGCAGCTCGAAGGCCGGGTTGCTAAGGAAGGACTGACATGGCAGAGGAGGCCGGGCGACCTCGCCCAGGGCGATTAAGAGGAGGGGGAGGCCAGGGGCCTGGGAAGGAGCCTGCCAGGCAGGGTCCCCGGCTAGGCCCCCTCGCTGAGAACAGGGTCTGCACCAGGGAAGGGGGTTTGCTCAGGAGGTACTTCAACAAGTCTCGGGGGGGTGGTTCCTGCTTATGCTTTCTGCTAATGTTCGGAGAGAGCCACTTGCAGAAATGCTGCAAGTCAGCCAGACACGCTTAAAAGCTTCCCAGCAGTGGACCAAGGACAGTCCCCAGAGCAGGGGGAACTGGCCCGCGTCACCGGCTACACACCGGGGAAGCCAGAAATCCCCGGCGGGGAGGGGGCCTCTGCCGCAGAGCATCTAGGGTGAGCCGACACGTGTGGCGCGTCAGCTGCCGAGGCATGTAGGGCTGGAACAGCGATGTGCCGTTTGCTCTCCCCCCATTCCTTAGGGAGGACGGAGGATGCCCATGTCGGGCATAAAAACGCCTCAGGCCATCGTCCATTGTTTACTGTCTTTCCCGTCGGTCCCTGAACGTGAACATCAGCCTCGCTGGGCCAGAATGTGCTGCTCTTTCTCCTGACAGCACGGCTGCTTTCACAGTGGCCTGCAGTCGCGGCTCACGCCCTTGTCACGATGAACCCGGGTCTCCCCCTTCGGGTCAGTCGGTGCCATCTCCTCCCTCCCTCCGGGGGAGGTCGGCTGAGGGCCCGTTCCCCACATGTGCAGCTGCAGCGCGGGCTTCCTAAGGGGCCCGAGGCTGCTCAAACTTCCGTGCTTT